GCCAAGATCGAGCACCGCGCACCCTGCCTCCACGCCACACCTCTCCCCCCGCCCGCACACTGGGTCGAATTGCGCGCACTCTAGCCCAAGGCAAGAATACGCTGGTGTATAATGGTTAGAAATTACAAATAATAAGTAAATGTCCTTTCGCGTTGAGGCTCACGCCATTTGGCTTTCACTTTCGTTTGACCACTTCCAAACGTTTAATACAATTCACAGAAATAGGTCATTCAAAAAACATGTATGCACTTAGTGGAAAGGGACTTTTGCAAGGGTGACAGGAGTGAAATCGAGTGAGGAGTGTACTCTCAAGTAAAAGTTCAGGAACCGGGACCTTCAATAAGAAAGACGAAAATAGTAAGTTTTGTAATAAGTGCGCGCGTCTCCTCACACGCCATGTTACGTTTACTAGTTTTTACGGAGTGAAATCCAGTGAGGAGGGGTTGATGGGAAAGAATCACTCTCCCAGAACTTGAGTGAGTATATCTCGGACATTAACTTCAAATTCGTAATTTATTGTTTTTCCAGAAATATATCTACTGGTTAAATTTGAATACTTCACGAGTTTTCATTCAAATATAGTAAAATTACCTTTATGTGACTCAGCACGAGGGAAGTAGGAGCATTGTGATTTTTGTAATCTCACTTGAAGGCACACTGGCAGACAGAGAAATGGACGCCTCTCAAGTACAAGTTCAGGGACCGGGAACCTCAATAAGAAAACGAAAACAGTACGTTACGTAATAAGTCCGCGAGTACCCTCACATGCCAAGTTACTTTTACTAGTTTTTTACGACACTGTGCGCGAAACACGGTCTCTTATGTTTGATTTCCGTGTACGAAACAGTAATTTGTCTCCATTCTGATAGCGCGGCAAACACTACGAAGCGTGTGCCAACAGTCTTCTGCACATGGCTTGTTGAAAACTACTGCATACAATAAAAGAGCGAGGTGGTTCACGATATCGTAAGGTAAATAATAAACAAAATCCTCAAGACAAAATATAATTGCGAAACATTACAAATTTTGCTCACTCGTTTCGCGAGGTTCACTCACGCTTCAAAACGTTCACTATTAGAGTGAAAAAGAGTAACTGTTTCGCACACGGAAAACAAGAATGAGAAATTTTGTTTAATGCATTACCTATTTAAAAAGGCATTTAAGTCGTCAAAATTTCGTAAAAGCATAAAAATGTGGGCAGAATGTGAATAGTTTCAGGTAAAAATATTATAATCTTCATGTTTCTCTCCACATTTTCAACATAGATAGCAAAGCAAAATTGTATTTGGCCTCAGGATGTAGAGTTTATGTAATATACGAATGGCATTTATACGCAAATATTTGTGAAAATCGTATTAGTTTAAAATTAACAAAGAAATACAATGCTAGTAAGATGAAGAGTAAGTAGCATATGAAAATCTGCCTCACGTTAAAATATTCAGTCTTCATTATCTCACTGAAATTTCTATTCACACACAATAATGTTTGACGGAATTATAATCATAATATTTTGAGTCCATAATAGCATTATTAAATTCTCAATATGTGTTTGTGAAAAAGCAGCTGAAAATAGCTTATCCTGTTTTATGTCAATGTATAACATTCGATGAGTTCAGAACGAACTGTAATTTAAAAATATTAATATTTATGCAGTACGTTACACTTTCAATAAAATACATCTTCCAGATTTTAAAGAATATTGTATAAAAATTCATCACGATGAAAATTGTTATATTATATTTTTAATCGTATTTTATGTTACTTCAGTTATCCATTTATTATGTTATTTTTATTCAGATATTATTTTATTATTATTTTTAATTATTCTTATTATAACTGTTATTCTTATTTTTAATTATTCTTTTATTCAGATAACTCCTCGCCATGACTTTCCCTACTTAATTTACAAATATTTTGGTGTTGGTAAAGAAATTATCACCAAACAAATTGTTATATTCCACTTTTAAATTATTTCTGATTATTAAAATTATTTGTTTTGTAAATAAAATCATGTTCAAATTGAAAATATTGAGAAATGCTGAAGCATATATGGAGGGTAATATGTAGTTGCTAAAATAAAAAAAAAATATTATAAAAACAATTGCATCCGCTGACTCAACATCATGGCACTTTATACATCTAGCGCACGGTCATACACACGGAATTATGAATCAGAGAATTTCGTAACCAATGATAAACACATCGACGTTTCTTTTAATCATCGCTTCAGTACAGGGAATGCTACTTTTTAGTAGCGCCGAATTGGCGACCTCTGTCAAGCTGTTGCCATGGACCACGTCTTTTTCTTTTTTTCTTTTTTGGTATTTATTTATTTATTTATTTAAGGTCGCATCAACTTCTTGGTCATTAGCGACCACTATTGCCTGTTCCGCAATGGTAACTATCAGGAAGGCACGATGTGATGATGACGATGCTGATGACGATAGGAGGTGAAAGTACGAACACAATACAACCAGGCCCGAGGTGGGACTCGAATCAGCGATCCTTTGGTCCGAGATCACTACGGCACTACTGCCTTAGCGATCCTGACCCTGCTGCTCGGCGACCACGTCTTGTCTTCGCTAGAAGGATACGTTTCCGGAAGAACAAAATACCACACACGACTCATAGACGGAGCAACTTTTCTTCGTACACCTTCCTTCGGAGGGGAAGTAAAGCCGGCTGTCCCATGTTAGTAGATTTACTTGCATGTAAAAGATCCTCAAGCCTAAATGACGCCTCTGAGCTAAATTGAAATCGCCTATTTCTCGTGCAAGAAATACCTCCTTTCTCTGCTAGTTGGTGAAAGGAGCGTAGCGAAATTGGCGTGGTCAGACGGAAGAGCAGGCCTAATGGCCTGAGTCTCGCCACGTAAAATAAGGCAATAATTTAATTCAATTCAATTCAAATTTTCAGTGGTTCGGAGGTAGTTTTGCATCATGAAGATGTCATGCGCATTCATGGCCATTCAGTGTTCTGTGTTAAAATTTCGTTAGTTAAATTTAACAAATATTTGGTTAAATTTAACAGGACGTTTACCGATTGTCTTTATCAAAAGTACTAACTTGTGGACGTTTTCAAAGGCAAAAAAATAGTCAACCAACTGTTGTGCTGTAACAAAACATACCGAATCAAACTGACCCTGAAAATACCCTGAAAATCATTTAAACGAAAACATTAAATTTGGAAAAATGTATCTCTTTCAAATGTGTGATCATAAGATTATGATTGGTATTCGCACGTAAATGATATGGAGCTGCTATTTTTAATGGTAATATTGCATGTGGTAATGCGAGAGAACTACATTTAATGTAATTAAAAATGGAAAATTGAAGTTCTTATCAAAATAATTTTAAATAAAACCTTGACTGATAGAATGAAATCTAGTGTGATTAACATGTGTCAACCATTACACACGTTTGAACTTTTGTATCCAAAAATCTCTTCATCAAAAAATAAGACGTTCAGGTGATAGCGAAAAATGGTTTTCACCATTGTAATCCGATCATTGAACAATCACATATTTTTGTTCCGCGGCAAGTTTCATTTACGCATTGTGTAATTTCCTCTCTTCCTGCAACTGCTTTTTAGGGAAGTATGCTATCAAAATATTTTCTTTAAAAAAATTAATATTAAAATTCAATAATTCTCCACAACAAGAAACAAATAGAATATTTCTCGTGACTCTTACATTAGTTGATAAACAATGTTTCATAATATTGTCTTACTTAAATATGTCCAGCTGCATATGAACAGATGACATTTTTTGTGACCGATTTAGCAAAATTTAAGCAAGCATATTTAAATATTTGTGAAGGAAATTTTATTTATTTATAAAAAACCAAAAATCTATTCGATAGGCATGAAAGTTTCAAGGCAAATACGCATGTGATTTAATAATGATGTAATAATAATAATAATAATAATAATAATAATAATAATAATAATAATTATAATTATAATTATAATTTATTTCTGCAAATGAGGGCACGCACGGTGACAAAACATTTAGCAAAAGTAAGTAATTATAAAAATAAAAATTAAAAAAAGAAACAATACATAAATTATAACACAACTCAAATACGTCATACAAACTCCTAAAGGAGTAAAAAGCAAATATGAAAAATAGATAGATTGTGCATTACTCGCCTCTAGATAATACATGCACTTCACTTCACTGAATGTCCCTGCAGTACCCAATACGTTCTTCATGAAAAGAAACTAAATGCACTTGGCACTTGCACACACTTTTGCAGGCTTATGTATATCCTGAAAAACTCCACCAGTACTTCACGGCATATTACTGCATTGTAAGCGTACGCTCTTGAGAACCCTCAAACGCATACCGCGCGTGCGTCTGGGAAATAAACTATTCGCTCGTGGCCCTAAGAGAGGTGCAATTTTACACCGTACTCTTGATTCGCATCAGCGCGCAAAAAGAGCTGCACAATTCCTCGACGATCCCAGCAAAATCGGACGTATTTGATATTGAATGTTTATTTCGTATTTCATGGCGCGCCGTTGTTATTAGTCCCGTAAGTATTAGTGCATGTTTTTATCGCAAGGGGTCGTGAAGTTCTTTCCTACTGGATGATGAGATCCGGCACAGATCTGCCCGACGACTTGCGGAAATTTTCCACATCCAGGTATCTCCTACCAGTGGGGTACCGGTGCAACAGGAACAAGCTCTAGACTCTCGACTGGTCTCCCGATAGTGGGTCCTTGTAGTGATGTCCTTATATATATGTTTGTGGTGTGTGTGTGGTGTGTGTAAGGGGTAAGTAGACGACAAGGAAGAGGCAGGAAGGATCGCGCGCGGTACGTGGCTCATTTGTTAGTGTACTACTGCGACATTCGCCAAATGTTGTTCGGAGAAGCCACAGAAAAGTACCGATCGGAGCAGCAGGCTTCTAGAATAATCCTCCAGTGAACGCCTCAACTCGACATAGCGATATACATGGTGTCGGAAATTCTGCCGCAGTCGGGATTCGGGTACGATGTCACCCCGGTGAGAAACACTGCAGAGATCTGTTGATGCCCTGAGCCACCTCAGTCGGTCGATATTCCCGAGCCGCAGGGATTTCCAATCTTCATTTCAACTTGTCCAACTTTGAAACCAGTGAACTGCTGCTGCCTTCCCCATCGTTCTCCATTATCTCACTACACATCACCTCTGGAATGTGCGCAGGGCAATCAAAGGTCGCCCCGCTCTTTCACCAGCATCCACTTCTGCTTCCTCTTGCCACTTGTCTCCCCTCACCTTCTAGCCTCTTCACATTCCTATTCACCCTAGAGGATGCTTTTGTGGACAAGGATTTGGCGAGGGCTCTGGAGAATGTCGGCTGTTTGGTTCATCGTTGGTCAGGAAACAACACTACTGAAAAGAGGCCAACTAAACATATTTTAAACGTTGTTAAAATTGTCAATAGTAGGAAGTACTGAGAGTCATTGTTTTAAGATGCAGTAATATGTTTCAAATATGTACAAGGGATCTTTTCATTCAGCTTTTTCTGAAAAATATTTGTATTATTATCGTTTTATGGAATGTTTGGCGAAAAGGAAAATATTTGCCCTTATAAAGAAAACTTTAAAAATTAAGTATATCGTAATTATCACAGAATGGAAGTAAACGTTTTAAGCGATCTTTACCCGGGATATCCATATAAATAATAGAATCTGTGGTCCCACTTGAAATTTCTTTTTTTTTCTCCGCCACATTTTCAGAGGGGAATTAGATTTAATTTTTTTGCGTTCATAAACAACAATGACAAATTTCTTCAATGGCAAATTTAAACACCGAAAACACATACATTTTCGGCATCGCATCCAATACCTCTTTTGAACGTCAATGCGTGTAGCAAATAACACAGCTCCATCAATATTTCGGGAAACGAGAACACACACACACGCGCGCGCGTACACATATCTCGCAGAGGGCCCTGTGTATGCACAGCCGGTGATGTGCAAGATGAAGGGCGGGGGGATCCCCGAAGACGGCGTAACTGGTCGCGCGTGTTGACACACGCGACGCCGGACGTCACCGCGCGTGGGTGGGCGGTCGTCTGAAGCGGAAGGGCTGGGCTCGGCGGGGAGAGGCCGCTTTGGAGGCGTAGCTCACTGTCAACAGCGTGTGGCGGCTTCTGCGGTAATCGCTGCTGGGGAGATCGGCGCAAACACGGTTTGTCAATACGGTTCACTCATTGTCTCGTTTGCGTAATTTTGACTCGGTTACCTAACCTTCTGTTCTTACGGCCATTTTATACAGTTTCTCTCTGGTTTTTATATGGCGTTTATACGATTGTTTTAACGTTTACTTATTCCAACGTTCAGATCTTATTATCGGAAAACAACTAGTACAAAGCCTGTATATTATTCTTAGTTTTCTATTACGATAAGATAAACACGCCACACAAAAAAGATAATATGTATAACTACACAGATAATAATTAATAAAATATGAAAGACTATTGCTGACAGTCTCGCCTTTACAAAGAAGAAAATTTTTGTATGTTTTTGTCACGTGTTCGCGCCTCATGCGGGCCCGTGTATGTTTTATGTTGGGTTCAATAAATGCGTAAGAAATATTTAATATGGTAAATACTCCCAGAAGAAGAAATTATGTGAAGATCTTTGTTCCCTTCTCTCCGATAAGAAACCAATAAAATCACACACAGTTGAGCACATGCACGAAAATATGTGGAGGACTTGGCCCTCTTACCTCCCCTGAGAAACCAGTACAAGCATTCACCGTTGAGCACGCGCACGCTGAAGGAAGCCCGCTGCACGTTGCTGGGCGCGTACGTGTAGTTGCCCGAGGTTATTGCTTCCTCCCTTCACCTAAACATTCCTCCCTTCCCATAAACCAGTACGTACATAACTCACCGTTGAGCACGTGCACACCGACGGAAGTCCGCTGCGCGTTGCTGGGCGCGCAAGTGTAGTTGCCCGATGACATTTCCCCCCTCCTCCCCTGATATACCAGTACAAGCACTCACCATTGAGCACGCAGACAAAAATATTTAGACGAAAATATGTAGAGGTCTTTGATCCCTTCCCGCCCTTGAGAATACAGTACTCAACTCCCTTGAGAAAACAGTACAACAGTAAACAACTCACCGTTGAGCACGTGCACGCTGATGGAGGCCGGCTGCGCGTTGCTGGGCGCGCACGTGTAGTTGCCCGAGTCGCCGTTGTTGGCGGCGGCGATGAGCAGCTCGGAGGAGGAGCGGCCGTGCCGCACCGACACGCCCCGCTCCTGGGCGTAGTTGATCATGACGCGCTCGTGGTACCAGAAGACGAACTGCGGGGGCTCCGTGCTGTCGCGCAGCAGGCACGTCAGGCGCAGCCGCGACCCGCGCTTCACGAACAGGTCGGGCGCGCCCAGCAGCTCTGCGCGCGCCTCTGCGGACACACAGGGAAACAAAGAGTCAGGCCATTGCTTGTGAATCCTTCCTACACATGGAGGTTGAGTTAGCTGCACTGGTCGGGCGCGCCCAATAGCTCTGCGCACGCCTCTGCGGGCTCACAGGAAAGCAAGGAATCAGGTCAATTCTCGCAAAGCCTTTCTATAAATGCAGGTTGAGTTAGACGAACTAGTCGGACGCGCGGAACAGCTCTGCGCGTGCCTCCGCGGACACACAGGGAAACAGAGTCAGGCCATTGCTTGTGAATCCTTCCTACACATGGAGGTTGAGTTAAATACACTGGTCGGCCGCGCTAAACAGCTCTGCGCGCGCCTCTTCGGGCTCACAGGGAAACAGAGTCAGGCCATTGCTTGTGAATCCTTCCTACACATGGAGGTTGAGTTAGACGCACTGGTCGGGCAGACTCAGCTCCTCTGCGCTCGCCTCTACGGGCACACAAGCAACTCAGGCTATTGCTCGAATATCCTTCCTATGTGTAGAGGTTGGGTTACTGCGTCGTGCGTGCCAGTAACTCTGCGCACACACAAAGCCTGCCTTTCTTCTGCCGAAAATTCACGATGACATTAGTTTCTTTTCTTACAAAGAAAGCAGACGAAGAAACTCTTACGAAGTAAATGCGAGAAAGAAAAAGGAATCTCTGTAGTTTGAATCATTTACGTTGTGGCATTACAATCGATGGTCAATTTTTAGTAGTTAAAAAACTCATATTCTGCTACTGTTTCATAGTCATATTTATTCCACTTTCCGTTCTCTTTGAAATGTAATTTTATGTTTCAGAATCAGTATTCTGCATATTTTCACATCAACTAGAACAACATCCTACGTTATCATCGTCATTTGTTTACGTCTACTGGCGCATTTGTGTCACGAATATTCCCACCATCTGCCACTGTACACGGATATGTCATTGAGTTGCTTTCTATCAGCGAGGTTATCGTCCGCACCCTTGGGTATTTCTGATTCAATTTTACGACCAATCACGCCCAGTTACAGGCTCACTTTCTTGTTCTTGTTCTACAGAATTAAGCGCGAGCAATATGTGTTAACACACAGTTCGTTACTGATCCCGTAACATATCGTGTGAATCAGATTTTCATTAGTTAGTATTCGGCAATTCAATGGCGCGCTATTATAAACTGCATCTACTTGTATTTTGTTTATTGATTCGACCGGGGAAAAATTCGGAAGTCCAATCATTCGCATCAAACTTAGAGTGTCGGACGGGTCTCAAAATGGACGCTAAGCGTAACTCAACCGGGCACTGGATCATGACGGTGAGGCTACCTTTTATTTTACGTAACACAAAAATTGAGAGATTTTAAATGTCTCATACTAATCTTATTGTTTTAAAACAAATTTAAAGCATTTTTCGAACTTATACATTTTGTACTTAATTCAAAATATGTTTATTATGGTAGCACTAAAATGTTCAATTTGCAAACAAACCTCATGTGACTTTATGATGATAGAATTTCCACGCACAAAACATCTCCAAAGGAGTTTTTTTCAGCACAAAAAGTTGTAAATATAGAGATATGCACATTTTTTGAGTGCTCATGTCAAGGAATATTTTTCAACGTTTTCCATTAAAATACATTGTTGTGTTCACTATCATTATAAATTATATTTTGATGCCATCAATCGGTCATTAAATCTAGTTTTTATGACACATTCTATTACATTATATCGCATTTCTGTTTACATTAATAGCTGACGTAATTTTTTTATATTTGTTGTCACACACACTATTACCTATTAAGACGATGGTAAATAATGTCCAGACCTTCCATATTACTTTCACATTATTATCAGGCAAGTAGCACAGTAAAAATATCTTATACTTTTAAGAACATGACATTGTATAGCCTTGGGTAACACTCAGCGACGGATTCAGGAGTCGATGCACATTTAGAGCATTTGATGTGACAGTGCCTAAAACTAATGAATGAAAAAAATGTTTAAAATAATGGCTAATTTTAATGCATTTTTTCTCAATTTTGTAAACTGCAGGTGGAGGCAGAGAGCTCGGTGAGGCCTGGAGAGCAGCCGAGAATCCAAGTCAGTTCAGATTTCGCTTCATCGCCGAACCGTCCGGGGACTTTCTTGCTCACATCCACAGGTATGTGGATTGAAATAATCCCTTCCTGCTTCCAGATAGTAAAAGTGGTTTTTCGATCCCCCAAACGCCACATGAAGTTTTTGATAGTTTTGATTTAAACAAATAAAGACAGAAAAAATATGTTTATGCTGTAGCCGGTGGGATTCGAAAATACTTGGTTTTGAGAGCCAGAGTGAACAATGGACCGGCAAAGGAAAATATATAATTTGCTTTGGACGTAACACCTGCTGGTAAATATTTATAGGAAGTATATGCGTTCTAGAATATGCATATAATTTCTCTCTCTCTCTCTCTCTCTCTCTCTCTCTCTCTCTCTCTCTCTCTATATATATATATATATATATATATATATATATATATATATATATAAGATAAGTCTAATTGCTCATAATACAGGACCATTAGCACGTACATTCAATGGTTCCAAAATATCAAGTGTGTTCTAACACAATATAGTTGCTTATTGAGCAGTAACGAGAATATTTCGAATGGGAACGTCTAATCAATGAACAATCTCTTCATAATTTACTAGCCCCATCCCATGCAAATGAATTTCTAAAATATATATATATATATTTTTTTTTTCTAAAAGTATCAACGCGTGAAAGGAAGGACTCAATACGTCTGCAGGTGACTTATTTCATGTTACAATAGTTCTCTTTCCGATTAATACATTTAAAAATGCAGAGTTATATTTCACTAACAATATTTATTAACTATTATATATCTTATTCTGAATGTATTTGTGTCGAGGGAGCCGGATTTCACCTTAAACAATGCAGATAATTTAGCTATTTAATATTCATGCATTTAGCAAGACATGAGTGCTTTTGGAAATACTGAAAACATTCCACATCACCTATATCAATCTGAATTGTATATTTACTTTATAAAATTCATTGCAAACCTACCTTGATGATTTTTAGAAATAAAACACTTCTAAAGAAGATTCCAAGTAATTTTATTAATATTATTTTATTATTTTGTCTGAGTGTTTGATCGATAATTACAAGCAACATTAGGTGTTGCTATAAGGGCAATAAATCGTTGCTATGAACAGAAGGTTCTGGAAGCTCTAATTTTCATTTGTAGTGGTCTTTCAACGGCAGCCCCCATCGGACTACGAGCTCATCCTGGGGGAGGGCTACTACAAGCTGCATACGGGTGGTCGTCGGTGGCCTGAAGCCATGAAAGTGTGCGAGTCTGAGGGCGGACATTTAATGGTGATCGACACCCAGAGGGAAAGCAACGTTATACGGGAACTCTTCGCTCGCGAGCCCAAGATCACCAACGCGTACAACAATCTGTGGCTGGCTGTTGGCTTCCACGACCGCTACGTTTCGAAACGCTACGAAACTGTCACAGGTGATTCTGTTTTTTCATACGGGATGTAGAAATATATAACATATTGTAGTTGTTCAATAATGTGACAACTAAATGTTGAAAGAAAAGGTTTTCTCTCTCTTTCTCTCTCTCTTTCGCTCTCTCTTTCTCTGTTTCTCTATCTCTGTTTCTCCCTCTCTGTTTCTCTCTCTCTGTTTCTCTCTCTCTGTTTCTCCCTCTCTGTTTCTCTCTCTCTCTCTGTTTCTCTCTGTTTCTCTCTCTCGGTTTTTCTCTCCCTGTTTCTCTGTTTCTCTGTTTCTCTGTTTCTCTCTCTCTCTCTCTCTCTCTCTCTCTCTCTCTTTCTATCTCACTTTTTCTCTCTGTCTCTTTCTCTCTCTTTCTCTCTCTTTCTATCTCTTTCTCTCTC